CTTTGTGGTCGCACAAATGCCACACGTCTTTACTTTGACGTCAAACCAGAAGAAAGATCCGTTACGTTGATTTTGCAGTCTCTACCCTGGTATGTGTCTGTTAAAAAACTTTATTTAAACTCAAGGGTGCTTATCACTAACCTTGTTAAGCAATTTTCTTTTTTAGGTGCAACAAGTACGGAGAATATCCACTTGGCCATCCTCATATCATCACCGAGAACTTTGCACCAATCAACCAGTACTTTGGTTTGGTGAAATGTTCCGTTCTCCCTCCTCGTGCCCTATATCATCCCGTGCTGCCTTACCGCACTCAAGTAAGCTCATGTTCCCACTGTGTCGTACCTGTGCCGACACCCTGCAACAGAACCTTGCCACCACAACGACGCTGAGCGCACACTTCACGGAACATGGGTGACACTTGAGCTCGGGAAAGCACTGGAAAAAGGCTATAGATTGGTAAAAATCAACGAAGTGTGGCATTTCCAAGAGCACACCGATGGGCTCTTTAAAGATTACATTGACACATTTCTTAAAATTAAGCAAGAGGTAAGACTTAACTGATGTTTACCGTTTTGAAGTTCCAATGCCTTATTATTCTTTTCTCTTTTCCTGGCGAGTGGATTTCCAGCAGACTGCAATACAGAGGAAAGGAAAGCTCAGTATATTGCCGACTACGCGGAAAAGGAAGGCATTCAGCTGAATTCAAGAAAAATTGTGAAGAATCCCGGTCTGAGGGCGTTAGCAAAGCTCATGTTGAACTCTTTTTAGGGTAGGCGTATTCGCATACAAGTCGACTAATAGTACGTGTTTCTTCTAGGGAAATGTAGTAAATGTTTGTATGTTGAAAACGTATCGTCTCTTATTATAGGAAAATTTGCGCAACGACCCAACATGACCAAGGTCAAAATCATTTCTGATCCAGCCGAATACTTTGACCTCCTCTCCAGCGACCAAATTAACGTAACCGATGCAAACTTCATCAATAATGACCTCATCGAAGTCCATTTTGAGAACGTAGAGGAATTCGTAGAGGCCGACGGAAAGACAAATGTAGTCATTGCTGCCTTCACCACAGCCCACGCCCGTCTGAAGCTTTATGGTGTCCTGGAGCAGTTAGGTCGGCGTGTCTTGTATTTCGACACAGACTCGGTGATCTACGTGTCCAAAGACGGCGAGTGGGAACCACCCACAGGATCTTACCTTGGCGAGCTTACTGATGAGCTGGATGGATCTCACATTACCACCTTTGTGTCAGGAGGTCCTAAGAACTACGCCTATCAAACAAATACGGGTGAGACCGTATGCAAGGTTCGAGGAATCACCCTGAACTACAGGACCCAACAACACGTCAATTTTGATGTTATTTCCGAGATGGTGAGAGGCGTGGGACCTCGTAATATAACCGTCGACATCCCATACAAAATTGTAAGAAATAAGACGGGGAAAGAAATAATCACCAGGAGCGAGAAAAAGGACTACAGGATTGTATATAACAAACGTGTTATTGTAAATAATTTTGATACTTTACCTTATGGTTTTTAACTTTGCGTATTTTTAATTTTGTATGTAAATAGGAAAATTGGAATTATATCGATCTTAACATCACTTGAGATAATTTGTGATTCTGGGGTGAGAGCCACTGATGGGTAATCAGTCACAGTTTCGGGCCATGAGGCCACAAAAAAGGCCCGCTAAGGCCCTGCGGGCCATATTCGCACAATAACAGATATGAAACAAGGCCACAAGGCCGTATGAAAGGCCCTGCGGGCCATTTTATTAAAATATAGAAGTTTTCAACCTCGTACCCAGGGTCCCGCGTTTAAAGTTCTGGTGACGCGAGGGGACCCTGGCAAACTCCGATGCCGTGACGTCATGAATCTTGGAGATTACGTAATTTGTAACTTTTTGATCCGGGGGGTGATGGCTCTGTGCAGAACACTGGTGCAGAATGCAGAAGCAAACTTCGCGAAGACAAATAAATACATAACACAAATAAAAGATATATAGACACAAAGATCGTTCTTACAAGATTCTTTTTACAAGATTCTTTTTACTTTGGTTTCCCTACTGGCAGCAGCAGTCTACATATTTTTGCAATCTTGTTTATCGAAGATGTATGAAAATTGACATGAAAAGATGAAAGATGAATCACATCACAGTCACATTTTATACAATTCAAAGATTGGCTACTTGTGTAGGTTGTGGTTATGATAGATCTCTAAAGTCCAATCAGTATCGATAGGAATCGTTTGGTACATCAACTATAGCCTAATGGACTCATTATTGGATAAAAAAGACAACAACTTTAAGAACGTGACAGTGACTGGCAAGGCTATGAATTCAGTGTATATAAAATTGTATGTATATTTTATTATTAAAATACAGTTAAACTTTTAAGTTGATTTTGTTTGTCCTTATTTTTTATCATTGATGCTAAAGTTTGAAAACACCACTTCTAAAGCACATGTATATGTTATATGATATAGTGGATTTTTTTAAAAGACATGTAGAAATTTTAAATATATAATTCATGATATAAAAATATATAATTATGATGTACAATAATCAGCAAAATTCTTACATAGTTACTTGTACTTATAGGGTTGTCAACAAATAAACTGTCCTTCAATTGCAGACTTGTTCTGCGATTGTTTCAAAATGCTTTCCCAGTGGAGGTCTATATGTATGTTCATTGTAGTTAAAAACTTAAGTTCTATTATAGATATAGTACAATCTACAGACATCCATGCTTTGGCATTCAGCAGTTGATCAATGCAGCTTGGTACAATATAAAGTCAGTTTTCATTCCAAATATTTTGTAATTGCAGATTCTAGGCTAGGACCTTTTCCCACTTTATGTTGGACAAGTTCAGAAATGAGGAACAAATTATATTTGTTGTAATAGCCTTAAAATATGTCAGCAATTTAATATTCAATATGATCAACCCAGATCAAACTGTGCACACACAAACTTGCACAAAACTACAAGAGGAATAGGTTTCAGAGCACATTTGTCTTATACTGTACATACTAGGAATAGATCACTAGAAAACAGAAACTATATATATTCATACAATATTATTGTTACATGTGAATAAAGTATTTTGTTGAATCTTTTCAGACTCAAAAACTCTTCAAATTCGTCAAACGGCATATTTTAAATCCCGTATCCCGTCATTAAAATATTTCATATATCGAATCCCGAGGCACAAATTACGAAAATCCCGCATCCCGCAAGAAATTTTATTCCCGAATCTCGCATCCTATTTTTTAAATATCCCGCTTCCCGATCGAAAAATGACCTAATTCCCGCATCCCGAAAAACCTATTGTGGACCCTCAAGTCGGACAGAAAAAATGAGAAATTCGAAAAAAGAACTTCAAAAACACGATGTTTCCACTTTCCTTTCCAAATGTTTAAAATTTTTATACATTTTGGTAGAAAACGCTGTCCTAAAATACTGCAGGGTCAGTATCGAAATTTGCCACTACTTGGTGTAAATATCGATATTTTCTCCAAATCGTAAATATCGATGAGTATGGATACTTGGTATCGAAGGGCGGGCGACGAGCTATTATTGACCGAAATTTATTGACTTCAAGTTCCCCGAATTATGAAAGTTTTGTTGAATATGAGGAGATCGGCCGATCGGGGATTTCTCTACACACTTGCAAATAAATGACCGAAACATAGAGCTGCTGTTGCCATTCTTGGCATTGGGGCTGACGGCTGACGAGTGACGATAAACTATGACGATGTTTGTGTCGTAGAATCATAGGCGGCCCAATATTTTGGTATTTTTGAGTGCATTCTCATCCATTAGGCGAAATGAGTTATAACTCGCCCCACTCCATCGAATTTGACCGTGCGCCGCAAGCTCTTGATTAGCGATGTTTGTATATATTGTATATTTACATAAGGTTGGCAACTATCATGACAGTTACGAGCATACGCGTTTAGGAAATTAAAAAATACGTCGAAACACAAAACGTGTCCGAAAGAAAGGTCACATTACTAAAATATACGATAATTTCTCTACATGACTACATAATTGCTTTTCGCTAAAGACTGAATGAATCCCGAAAAAAATCCGTGAACTTTTCAAGTTTTTTTCAAAAAATTTTCTGTCTCTATGCGGGATGCATCATATTGGTGCATACGCGATTTTATTTAAAAAAACTCTTGGCTTCAATTGGTTAAAAAAATGAAATGTTTATGACGTTTTCAGAGGTGAAAATGCATTTTCCGGGGGGATGAGGAGAAAGGCAGCGAAAATACAAAACAAAACAATACCGTAAACTCTTGTATACTGCGAAAAATATTTAGTTAATTGCTCCATATAAATTTTAAAAAGACTGAAAAATGACTGAAGGCTAGCAGCAAATGTGATGTAGGAGAAATATCTCGCGTATTCGGCCCTTTCGTGGCCAAATTTCAAGAGGTAAGAAGCATACGTTTTTACTTGTATTTTAATTTTACATTGAAAAAGTGAAGTGCAAAGACTTAGGCTATACACACAAGCGCAACTGTAGCTACAAAATAGTTTTTGCTTTTGCAGCCATTTTAAACATATTTTTGCCCACATACTATTATAATTATACACTTGAATTATCGATGCAATTGTAAACGAGTTTTCCTAATTTTTTATTCAAAATTTGTAAATCTTGTTTCAAATAAAGGCCAGACCGGCAAATGAAGTCAAAGTAATATTACAAAATATAGATAATGGAACAAGCCAGCACTTGTGTTAGTTGTGGATTTTGTAAAGACGTGGAGCATTTTATTTGGTAAGTATAACATGAATCATATGAAAAACTATATATTTCCTGAAATTGGCAAAAGTGTTGTCCGTCAAATTAATCTGCCGTGTTCAGCATAGGCCTTTTTTTAAAATACGTCTACACCGGCAAAAATACGGCTCGTTTCACAAGTTATTAAAAATCAAGTTGGCTCAACACGAATGTAAATCATGACGCGACACGGAAAATAATCAAAATATATTACTTATACCGTTATACGCGTACCTGCACTATCCAGACTCCAGTTTCAAATATATTAGATGATGTTCACTTGCATAGCCATAGTATTGTGATCGACGTGGCTACTCGGCAAAAGCCATCCTTGCGTGGACGTTGTAGTAATCCACTGATATTTTCCTATATATTAACGCGAAGTACGCCTTGCTTGTAGCTACCAATCAACCGTTTGTCGTGATTCGAATACAAAAAACACGAGGGCGACTAAAGAAAAACCAGATCGAAAAGAATCCAACTCGACGGTTCCACAGTTTTGATGCCACTGAAAAATACAAAAAAATGTTATCTGGCTATGTGTTTCTGCAACGAAAACTTAGATCAACCTTTTAAAAATTGCACTAAAGCAACTTTAAGGTTAAAACTTTTAATCTGTTTTGTCAAGTGCAAATAAAATATGCATAAAAAACAAATGCATAAATCAAGCTAAAAAACACAATTAACTTATCTTGCCTCTTGGTAAATTATATTCCGACAATCCTTGCAGACGTTTTGGCCAAAGAAACAAAAGTTTTTGACACCATATGCGACTAAAAGGCCACATCAAGACGACGGCTACATGTTTTGCTGCGACTCAATTCAAAAAAAGAATGCAGCTCACGAATGATCAGCCTCTCATTGAAGATGTGCGCGCGCATCGATAGCTACTTCCGGACTATTAAAGTGGGACAAATCTGTTTCGAACATCAGCGAAAGAACAAACCCCGGCGTCAATTAGTGAAATTTCATTAGGTATATGATTTCCAATTCCACTGGCTAAACCTAACACTGAATACCCATAACTTACAGAATGTAGACTTCGGGCAATTTTAGTTGAGAAATTTGAGGTTAATTTGAAATTTAAACCATTTACTTTACATTTGTGTAATGATATATTTAGATTTCACACGACGCAGTTTCATCATGGAAGATAATTCCATACGTTTAACTGATGAACAGACAGTAGAGGCTACATTAAACCTCTTTTTGTTTAGGATGACATCAAATTATGAGTTTCATAAAGACGGGCTTATATCAGCAGAAAATATATTAAGTTCCGCAGTAAATGATCACCAGAGTTTGAGCGCGAACTCTTTGGGACGGATTATTCGAGACGTCTGGGGGGAAAAGGTGAAGAAAATCCGCCCTGTTTATGGGGGCACAGCATCATATAAACACTTAGGAGAGCGTGCAGTCAACGGATTGCATAAGAATGATTCACCTATCAGAAATTTCTCCGACCAAAATTTGGAAAACATCCGCCTTATTTGTTCATACCACGGTTGGAACATGGATTTGTCCTTCATCGCTGAACAATCAATTGCAATAGCGCCGAATAGAAATCCTCAATGGTGTAAGACACTTTCTGTTGAAGGACACCGCCTTACTTCCCAAATCAACATCAAACTGGTTCCAAAACCTGTCCTCAACATTAATACATATGGTAAAGAGGTATCCTTCGACGAAGTCAGAGGAAAGGCTGATTCAGAACTTTCGTTGCGTACAATAGACGAGGCTATTTGTGTGCTCTCATGCATTTGCTATGCCGTGTGTTGGTCAAAACATTTCAAGCGAAGATGAAAAACAGTTCCTAAAATTGGAAGTAGGAGGTTCAAAACTGGTCGCAGTTACATCTGACGACTCAAATAACCAGCAAAACTTAATTTCAACATCCTGCTTGCTGATGCGACTCAGGACAAAATCTTGTAAGAACTGCTTATACACAGAGAAACTTTTTCGAACCAGATCAAGTAAACGAAAAGCTTCATCAATTTCAGCAGACCATGCCCCACCACAAAAGTGCAACTTGCGATTCTTGGATGAAAAGGGTCTTCTAAAGAAGGTTGCTGAACAAAATAAACAATTGAAAAGCAGCTTGAAGAGGGAGACAAGAATAAAAGAAGCAGAGCTGATCGAGCTCGTTGACGAGGACAACCAGGACCTGATGGAGATCGTTCGATCCACGAAAATAAACGATATACCACCTAATCTTAAAACTCTGTGGGAACAACAAATGAAACAGCTTTCAATGAAATCGCCAACTGGGTATAGATGGGACCCGAGGTATTCTAATAGTTTTTAATTTAGAAATACGCCAGGCAATGCAGTCATTGTAAATATAATGCACTACCATCATCTTCATCAGGTTTATTTGGTCAGTTTCATCGTATTGTGCCATAAATGAAATGATTAGAAAGCCGAAAACCGTATAGTCGTAAAAATATGATAGTGTAACTGAAAAATCAATTTCTTTTATTTTCAAGGATAATACGTTTTGTCTTGGATATTTACTGCAAAACTCCAAGGGCTTTGGATGCAATGCGCGAGTTTCTCGTTCTTCCGAGTAATCGTCTCATTAGGTTTGTGCAAATAATGACTAATTTTTGATACATTCGTTACAAATTGCTGCAGTAGCCCGGATTAATAAATGTTATAAACCTAAAATTGAAAACATACAGGTATTACAAAAATGCAGTAAATCAAGACGAAGGTTGGAACGACGAGATGATTTCATGGTGCAAGAAAGAAGCAGAGCGGCAAAATTTGAAGCCGGCGGATTATTGGGGTGGTCTTATTATGGATGAGATGAAAATTCAGGTATATATTTAGAGGATAGTTACGTCTTCCGGCAAACATATTTTCAAAATTAACGCTCAGAGATGCAGTATTTGTTAATTATAACATCATTTTTGGTATTAGGAGGATCTACAGATGACTGTAAAAGGTGGAAAACATCAGTTGACTGGAGTGGTATCGTTAGGAAATTTCTACAACAGTATGAAAAAAATTGAATCACGTAGGTTGATAAGAAAGTTATCATATGGTTCAGTCATTATACAATGTGTCCATGCTCAATTTTGATCGTATGATAAATATTTTTTCTTTAGAAGACGATTCAAAAATATCATTGGCTACACACCTACTACAGTTTGTCTTTTTGAGCGACTGTGGGTTTAGATTTCCAATTGCCCATTTTCCCACAGCCCAATGCCCATCTTCAGTTTTATATTTAAAGTTTTGGGAAGGCGTATTACAGATGAGAAGAGCAGGATTTGTGTATGCTATTTTTTGAACCTGTTTAGGTTAGTGTAGTCGTTCAATGAAATGCCGAATTTGTCAAATTTTTACAAACTTACATTTTCCCCTATCTTCTTTAGAATATATTTTTCTATATGTGATGGGGGTGATCCAAACCGTCAGTTCATCAAAATGCACTTTCCAAATTGTCACCCATGTGATCTGCATTTTGTTGGATATAACATGCTTACTGAAGATCCAATAATCTTTCAAATGGATTGTAAGGTAAAAGTAGTATACATTTTAAAATTAACCTAAATTATTCACACAATTTTACTTTCATTTCCTGTTACGATACACACAAACGAAGGTATGTATTTCATTGAGCTAAATACATATCTTATCAATGAACTATCCGAGTAACCCTCCGATAACCTATGCTTCTTATTTCTTCCAAACACTTCGGTATTTTACTCTGTTATCCCACCCATCAAAGGCCACATTCCTGGTCAATAGCTGGAGTGTTAACGCCGGATTTTACTTTCATACATAGCATAATTTCAAGAAACTAAGGAATAATGTCGAGAAGAGCAGTGAACGAGGAACCTCGCGATGTCTTGCCAAGGATGGCAAAAATATATTTTGGTCCCACTGGAAGCAAGCTTTTTCATGGGACCAAAATAGTAATTCTTGCCATTTGCATGAAAAACTTAAAGAGGACCATTTCATGCTGACACCAAACTCACGAATGCGAAACAACTTAGCTGAAGACGTACTGGATAATAAGATGTTACTCTTAATGAAGGTATATAGGACTTCAAGGAAAATCGTTAAAAACATTAATTTTCTTCATTGATAACTCACTCATAATATTTGATTGCATATAAGAAATGAGGTAACTTTTTCGTATGTATAGGCCTACCGAGACCACTTAGAGAAAAATGAAGGAGAAGAATCGAGTAAAAGACTAGACGAGACAATAAAGTTCCTTTCACATACTAGTGTCATAGTGGAACTTTTCAGTGACAAGCATGTCATTTACCACGTGCAAGACAGAAGAATCGTGAAAATGCAAGAGGCCCTTCAATATTTTCGTAACTGGAAATCAACTATTTCAACATCTAAGCAATTTTTGTCCGAAAAATTATGGTTTGACCTACAATCCATGATCCTTGGTTTTGTTTCTATGGTGAAATCAAAGCTTTCGCGTTATCCTGGATCCGTAGTAAAGCCTGCGATATATAACCAAGACGTCGTTGAGAATCATTTCTGCCAGTTGCGTGGGGCAAATGGGCAAAATGATAATCCTACCTATCAAATGATTCAATGTACTCAGAATTCCATAATCTTTGGTCAAACCACGTTAAGTAAAAAATGCAACACTGGATCCGCAAGAAATAATTCGTTTTCTGGCTTACCAAAGGAAAGCTTGTTTAGCAGAAATAAATGAACAATTATAAATACAAGTTTTTAAAAGGATACTGGAATAAAAATATACATTGTTTCATTGAGACAGTTATTAAATTATATGTAAGTCTCGTTTACCAAATTTTCATATTATACTAACTTAGTCAACTTAGTTTTCGAAATACATATTCGAAATCATACAAATGTTCTAGCAGTTTATTCTTGTTAAATCCGTCTCAACCGCAATACTGGTACTTTGTCGGGTTGTTCGATCCCGACTGTTTCCACCAAATAGTTCGATGTCAATTGATGGCAAGGGATATTATCGCAAGCAGGAATCTTTTCGATCAACTCCTTCGCAAGTCGAGATTTATTCCAGCTTTTCACATATTTCACCCCGTAGGCATCGCATAATAACTCCAGCTCCGCTTTCTTATAGAGCTTTACAATTCTTTCCTTCATATCATTCACAAGGGCCAGTAATCTTACGTGTGATGATCTTTTCCCTTTACTTCGATCTCGCGAGATTTCTGCAATGGACACTTTCTTTTCCTTCTCCCGTACTCTTTCTTGCCGGAGCAATAATGACTTTCGATGAGCTAGTGTCTTTTTAAGATGATAATCACGGCGAAAATCTCGCAGAAATTGTCCTGCACCCATCTTTAAATAGCGTGTTATTACATCAACGTAAATTTCCTTCAGAATATCTAGAATCTAAAGGTAATTCGAGTATAGTTTCACATTTCGAAGGTATAAGTGTCGCTGTGGTAACAATGGTTGTATCAATGCCATGCATTTTCATCGACTTATAAGTAGCGCCCTGACTTTAGCTGTATATATGGGTTAACAAAGAATTCGGGTTTTCACAAACAAATTATAAATGCCCTGGGCGTTTATTTAATTTTTACAGAACTATAGATTCGTGCTGATCATGGGGCGTCTATTAGATGCTGGGCTCTTATTAGACCATTATACGGCATGATAATAGGCGGTAATGTCTTGTCTTACCATATTAATATCGTTTTCTGAGTAAAACAGGTTCGTAAATTTTCTCAATAGGCTTTTGTTGTTGGAAACGTTCTCCATTGAATCATCAACCATGTCCTTTTGTAATTCTGCAAGCTTTGAAAAATTGATCTGGTCAACACGTTGTTGTTCCAACAGCAAAAAGAACGAGTAGGCTGAATCGCTGATATGTAGTAAACCCCTCTCTCTATACTGTCGATCTTCAATGACGTGCAGAGTTTCTGGAAATGACGAGGATTCTTGAAGATTTTGATAGTTAACAATTAAGTTGTTTTCGATCAACTCAACTTTCTTCATTTCGTGGTGAATATTCTTCCGCACACATGGAGTTTGGGATGAATTGTTTTCCTGTACATACCTACATGAGGTAAAATAATGCGTAACAATTACACATACAACTATACATTACACATGCATAACATTATAAATACAATATTAAAAACACAAAACGCGATAACAAAAGGAAATGGATATTTACCTACGCGATTTCTCAAGAGTTTTCTTTATGGCCCATCCTCCAACATAACGCACTTTGCCTCTCCCCTCCGGCCCCATTTCATCGACTTTGAATGAAACAACTTCTACGTCTTGGTGTTTCTGAATCAGTTGTTCCAATTCTGCAGCGAAAAGGTTGTAAAGGTGAAACACCAATTGTGCGCCCAGGGTTCGCTGGCCTTCGTTTAACTCGGTCCAGCATCGCGTACCGAATGAACTAATTAAGTCACACCGATATTCTTGCATTAGGAAAAGTCCGTGCAATTTCGTGGTGGCTGCGGTAAAGTCACGGTTGGTCATTTGCACTTGTTCCCCATTTTTGGACAAATATTCTTGGAAAAGGATGTTAACTCGGCACCAAAGAACTTCAGCAAAAAGCTCGAATATATCCAGGTTATTAATTGCATAGGTCGCTGCAGATTTTATTAACATACTGAAAGGATCGTTATGGCTGTCCTTTAGAATGTTTTGGAGAAAATCTTTGATTGAAAAATGACTTGGAAGCGAAGACAAATCACTGCCTAATTCACTTATCAAGCACAAAAGAACGTCCTCCAAGTTTACTGGAACTGCACCGTTTTTCTCATATATATCACTGGTAGCAAATTCTACATTATCACTAAGCGGAGACTCTTTGTCGATTTCTTTGTTAATTTCATCGCATTTATTTTCGTCAGGAGATTGAAAAAAGCTGTCATCAAGGTTGACGTGCCGACAGCACTGCAAGGAAGGATCTGTGTCACAATTAGTGTCGGATATGGTCAACAGCTCCTCGGGCACAGGGAGCAAAAATTGGCATCGAAAGCCAATTACTTGTAGCGATGATTCTTTCCTGACTCTGGAAAGGGCGACATATGTTTGTCCAGAAACAAACTCCTGGGCGCAGTGCACTACGACGCTATCCATGGTTAAACCTTGAGCTTTATGAACGGTCATTGCATAGCATGGTGTCAGAGGAAATTGCGTTCGACTGGCTTTAATAGCCCCATTCCTATCATACCTGTACCACGTTCTACGCTCAATTGCCACCGTTCCAATTTTGGGAAAATTGACCAACAGCCGTCCTTCATTTTCATCAGTTTCGGAAATTTCAAATTTAACAAACTGTCCTCGTGAACCATTTCGTAATTGACCGTTGATGTTGTACAACAACATTACGTCGCAACCAGGCTTAAGTGTTAGAACTCTACTTACAGTACTCTCAAGATAATTAGCAGAACCAGAATCAATACTTTCCAATTTAACCAATTCTCCTGGAAGTTTTGATAAGATATCATTGTTATGCACTTCTACGGGAAGCCTCTTAAAGTAAAGATGGATAACCTTTGATACGGAAGTACAGTCTCTGTTTAACGAAGTGAAGTAGAATTCAGTGCCTTCATCGCATTTCCCTGTACGAACGTCTTCTAGGTGTTTCTTTAGCTGAATTTCGGACTCGTGTTGCCGTTTAACCTCCTTCAACTCTACACGATGAGGAAAGGCCTCGTCGAATAATGGTGTTCCGCAAATTAGATTTCCTTTGTCCAATAATGTGCGTATGGGTTTCATCTGAAGAAAATCACCCACCAAAATTACTTGAATTCTACCAAATGGGAAGACGTTGTTTGAAATCATGTGATGCAAAAGATTAACTAGTTCAAACACTCGTTGACTTGACATTGCTATTTCATCCCAGATTAAAACATCCGTATTTTCTATATTTTCCACAATATTTTTTCTTCCTAAAGCCCTTTCAAGTAACAGTTGCGCTGGAAGCTCACATGTTTGCAATCCATATTGGGAGTTTACGGTTTTTGCACAACCGTCGTACGGTTCACAGGCAATTCCACTCGGACTAACGATAAAGCATTTTTTCCCATTAGAATATAAGGTTTTTCTCAATTCATTCACAACCGTGCTTTTGCCAACACCAGATTTTCCAAGAACACATACATTATGACCTCCCTCTGCCAGTTTTATGACAACTGTCTGTTCATCAGTTAAACGTATGGAATTATCTTCCATGATGAAACTGCGTCGTGTGAAATCTAAATATATCATTACACAAATGTAAAGTAAATGGTTTAAATTTCAAATTAACCTCAAATTTCTCAACTAAAATTGCCCGAAGTCTACATTCTGTAAGTTATGGGTATTCAGTGTTAGGTTTAGCCAGTGGAATTGGAAATCATATACCTAATGAAATTTCACTAATTGACGCCGGGGTTTGTTCTTTCGCTGATGTTCGAAACAGATTTGTCCCACTTTAATAGTCCGGAAGTAGCTATCGATGCGCGCGCACATCTTCAATGAGAGGCTGATCATTCGTGAGCTGCATTCTTTTTTTGAATTGAGTCGCAGCAAAACATGTAGCCGTCGTCTTGATGTGGCCTTTTAGTCGCATATGGTGTCAAAAACTTTTGTTTCTTTGGCCAAAACGTCTGCAAGGATTGTCGGAATATAATTTACCAAAGGCAAGATAAGTTAATTGTGTTTTTAGCTTGATTTATGCATTTGTTTTTTATGCATATTTTATTTGCACTTGACAAAACAGATTAAAAGTTTTAACCTTAAAGTTGCTTTAGTGCAATTTTTAAAAGGTTGATCTAAGTTTTCGTTGCAGAAACACATAGCCAGATAACATTTTTTTGTATTTTTCAGTGGCATCAAAACTGTGGAACCGTCGAGTTGGATTCTTTTCGATCTGGTTTTTCTTTAGTCGCCCTCGTGTTTTTTGTATTCGAATCACGACAAACGGTTGATTGGTAGCTACAAGCAAGGCGTACTTCGCGTTAATATATAGGAAAATATCAGTGGATTACTACAACGTCCACGCAAGGATGGCTTTTGCCGAGTAGCCACGTCGATCACAATACTATGGCTATGCAAGTGAACATCATCTAATATATTTGAAACTGGAGTCTGGATAGTGCAGGTACGCGTATAACGGTATAAGTAATATATTTTGATTATTTTCCGTGTCGCGTCATGATTTACATTCGTGTTGAGCCAACTTGATTTTTAATAACTTGTGAAACGAGCCGTATTTTTGCCGGTGTAGACGTATTTTAAAAAAAGGCCTATGCTGAACACGGCAGATTAATTTGACGGACAACACTTTTGCCAATTTCAGGAAATATATAGTTTTTCATATGATTCATGTTATACTTACCAAATAAAATGCTCCACGTCTTTACAAAATCCACAACTAACACAAGTGCTGGCTTGTTCCATTATCTATATTTGTAATATTACTTTGACTTCATTTGCCGGTCTGGCCTTTATTTGAAACAAGATTTACAAATTTTGAATAAAAATTAGGAAAACTCGTTTACAATTGCATCGATAATTCAAGTGTATAATTATAATAGTATGTGGGCAAAAATATGTTTAAAATGGCTGCAAAAGCAAAAACTATTTTGTAGCTACAGTTGCGCTTGTGTGTATAGCCTAAGTCTTTGCACTTCACTTTTTCAATGTAAAATTAAAATACAAGTAAAAACGTATGCTTCTTACCTCTTGAAATTTGGCCACGAAAGGGCCGAATACGCGAGATATTT